CAAATCTCAGTTAGAGAAAATAATATCATAAGTGACAAAGAAGTTGTGTCTATCTCCCTGCGAACTCAGGGGAAAACTAAATTCACCTTTTCTATGCTGGAGAGTGGTCATTTGACAAAGGGGCTGCAGCACAGAGCAGCGTCGGTTCATCTGTGTTTGCCCCCCATGCTCTTCCAGCACTAATGAACACGAATCAGTGACAGTGCTTCAATACCTGTAAATGGTGGCAATGTAAGAGCTGAAATCTCAAATTTGCAGTTTTTCAAATGTGCACAGAACACATTACAGGTAACAAGGTTGACTCCTCAAAATGTAAACACTTTATCTTTAAATGAAAACTTTCTAAGTAGCCAAAAAGTGTTCACGAAGGAAAAATAATGCAATCTAAGTGGTTCCTTTCTTAAACAAATAAGACAGAAGATGAAAACATAAATATCAATGAAGGTGATTAAATACAAGATAAAAATTTACTTCCTACTAGAGTCTTAATACAGTGGAACCATAAAATCAATTAAAGCCTTTATTTTATTAAATAACCTAAATCTCTTCAAATGAAAGAAAGATGTATTGAAAACAAAGACAAGACACCAAAAAAATAAGAAAGTTAAATGAGTGGGTATCAAAATCAATCCAATATGTCCATATGCATAGCTATATACAAACTGCGTTCAAGTGTCATGTGCTTATGAAATGTGGGCTTTAAGTTTAGTTGAGGAACATGAACTGCCTGGGTTAATGTGTTTAGCCTTGCTTTGTTTTGTTCTTTTATTTTGTTCTACAAGACCTGTGACAAGTATCCAGTTAATAGAAAGTGATGAGTTTGTGTTTAAGAACAACCTCCCTTGGGAATTTAGAAAATCATCCTTAGTTTCGCCTCACTGAGGAGTTTGATTCCTCAGCTATGTGCACCTGACCTGCCTAAGGCACACATCCTCTTTTCTTACATCACTGTGCCAGTAACAAATTCATCTCCTTGCTGTGGCCTACACCCCATAGCCACACCCTCCATTTCAATCTTGTGCCTTTTACCAAGATTCTTTAAAAGGAATAAGTGGGGAAAGTAATTTAAATCTAATTGCTACGAAATGTATTCATTTGGTTCCCCCCATACCATGAAGGCAGACATATTCATAAATCCATCAGATATGTGTGTCTCGCCTTCAAGTTTTCTCATGAATTTATAGACCTATTTCTTTTTGTTTTATTTCTAGGTCAGAGAATCGGATTTCCTAAACTGTGCGGTAGATACATGAAATATTTTTTTCTTAATATATCCCAGAGTTCTTCAAAAATAATTGTGCTTACTTTAAAATACAACCCTATTAAAGTAACTAGTTCCAGAAGTGTACTTCCAGTGTCTTCCTAGTGACTGAATTCATCATGCTTACACCCTTAACTTGCCATAAAGTATCTCTAAAACCAAATAAATATTTTGTCATAAATAAAATAAATATTTTATAATGACTTGCCTTGGTCTTTTAACTTGTTTTGGTCTTCCTTCCATTATTTAAAATGAGGAATTTATCACTGAGAGAAACATCAGCTAACACTGTAATAATGTCTGGCCTTTGATATTGAACATCTACTCTAAAGTATTGTGGTGTTTAAAATCAATGTAGGAAAGATAGCATTAAAATTAACAAGAATAACAGAACGTGTGACCAGGACAGAAATCATAAAAATTCCTCTTTAGGAAAAAAAATATATAATTATTTTTATCAAGAGGAAAAACACATCATATTCAAGTAGTTTTCCATTAAAGCTTGTGTTTAATGTCAGTTCTATTCAGTTCTATAGAGCAAATTCTTCACGACACAGAAAACAGCTTTTTGGACGTAGAATGCACTACATTTAAAACCTGAAAAGGCAAACTTGAAGTCCCAATACTTCTGATAATCATTCACCTAATACTGAGCAATCCTCCTTTCTTCAGAGTAGGGTTGAAAGAATAAGAAGATAGTGAAAGTGGGCAAACATGCTCAAAGGTTAAAGGACTCCAAAGTGTAAGTCAGCATTATTGTTCCTCAGCACGGTACATCTGGCATGAGTGAGGGCACACTTTGAACCTGCAGACCCTCAGTGGGAGCCTGGGAGTCTGGAGAGAGGCCAGTCAACAGCAATGAGCTACTTCTCGCTCCCCTGGAGGCGCCATGCCCAGCAGAGCAGAAAGGCCAGCAGTCTCACCTAGCCACACAAAGGCCACCCCTGTGTGTTCTCACCAGTCTTTCTCCTTGCTCCGTTCTGCCACCCACATTGCTACAATCTTAGCATCATTTAACTTGTTTACCTTTGTAGAAAGCTGTAACATGATGTGTCTGCCCTATTAAAACCATAACCATAAGTACCCCTGCATTAATTCCCACGGCTGATGCATTCAGACATGAGCTCCTGTATGTCTCAGGATTATGGCTTAGTTTTTAGCCATTAAACATTTAAAAGAAATTTTCGTTTGAAATGAGAATTCTGATGTTTAAAACAAAACTGGTAGCCTATATTTTAGCTTTACAAAGGTGAAAATACTACTAAATTATATAAATACATCAATTTTTGAAGAAAGTAGTGTTGTATCTCTATTGCTCCCTCCAGTACATACAGACTCTACTGTGGCTTTTAGTCTTGATGTTAATGAGAGAAGAACCCTCTGGAAAATCATATCTCCCACTATCCTCCTTGGTCCTAATAAATGCCGTCTGCTCAGGTCTGGTCCCTCTCTCCAATGTCCTTATATTGGGAGCATCGATTTTTCAACCTTCATCTCCTGCTCAAATACCTTCCACTTCCTTACTGGTAAGCAGTGTGTCCTTCAAAGCACAGATAAGATTCCACTGTTGAACCCCAACTTCCTGCTATACCTAAAGTCAGTGACACATGACATTATTTCCATTTATTCCTTAGTCTCTTTAAATATTCTAATTTTATTCAAGACTATTTAGTTTTCATAATAACTAAAATGGCAACTTTAAGTTCATTAAGAGACATGTACTTGTTTCTTTGTAGATTTTGAGGAGATGTGAGCTTAGTTTGTTTGTTTGCTTTGGCCTGGAACTCACAGAGATCCTCCTTCCTCTGCCTCCCCCTGCTTCTGCCTTTTGAGTGCTGGAATTAAAAGTCCCAAGCCACCACTGCCCTCCCGCATGTTTGCTTTTTGCTATGTAGCCCTGGATGTTCTAGAACTTGCTGTGTAGGCCAGGCTGGCCTCAAACACACAGAGATCTGCCTGCCTCTGCCATCACAGGGCTAGAATCAAAGGCAAGCACCACCAAGCCTAGACCATCACACTTAGCTTTTGTTTTGGTTTTGGAACATGCTCTCACTACAAAAACCCAGTGGACCTCAAGTTGGAGATCTGCGTGCCTGGGATTCTTGTGTGTTGGGATTGTGTTTCTCACCATGCCCACAAGGTCCCAAATACACTTCAATACCAACCTCCTCTCTAAGTAAGCCTGGTCCACTGTGCTATGTTCTAGTAACTAACTTGATCTGTTGCTTTTGCTCTACATCTGTGTTATTTACAAGAAGGGGGCTAAAGGTATTAGAAAAGGGGTCTTTATTTTTCAGTTATTAGGGGGAAGCTTACTGACAACGAAATGCATGAAATTCAAAGGACAGTAATTTTCTGGAAATGTACATACATGACGATAAATGTCAATATCATTTATTACTCATCACATTTAAAGGCACAGGTTGGATATCAATTTCTCTTATTTGTACTTCCACTGAGTAATTTCTGAAGTAGAGGTTTAAGTGTGCCATTAAGCTCAAGCTAAAATTCAAGATCATTTTCTTTCTCAAAAGTTTCCCATTGATAAAGTGGTATGCAACAGTTACTTCAATTTTTTTAAAATACTTGAAGAACGTTACATGATTCTAACACATTTGTAACCACATACATAACTCAGAAACCTGCTTGATTTGTTGCTGTCATTAAAAACAATGTTAACTACGTATATGCTGCAACTTGATGCTACTTAGCCTACAACAAAGGAAAATGTCAAATAAAAACCATATTCTTTAAATATTTTGTGCTGGGTTTCACTTAATGATTTCAAAATATTCTGTAGCATTCTCCTAAAAAAAGAAAAAAATCTAAAGATGAAGGAGAAATGGCTCAGTCAGTAGCATGCCTGCTGCAAAGGTTTGAGGACGTGAGGTCTGTTTTCGGTGCTGGGGAGATGGAAAGAGGTGCTTTCTGGGGCTTTCTGCACAGATAGCCTAGACAAGCCTATGAACCTCAGGTTCTGGTTCTTGTCTCAAAAATCAAGGTAGACAGATCCTAAGGACCTGACCTCTGGCATCTACACACATACACACAAATACACTAATATTCAGGTACGCGTGTATATGTGCTCCTTACACATACACACACACACACACACACACACACACACAGCAACATGGCTCAGCAGGCCAAGGTGTATGATGCCCGATGGTGCACGCCTACTGACCTAAGTTTCATCTCTGAACCTATAAAAATGTAGAAGAAGACAAAGGTGTCCTCTGAACTCCACATATGTCCTGCAGCACATGCAACACCCCCTACACAGAGACATCATATAGCCCATGTACACAGTAAAAATTACTATATAAAATTGAGAAGTTTAAGGCAGGCACACACCTTTAATCCTAGCACTGGGGAGGCAGAGGCAGATGGATCTCTGAGAGTTTGAGGCAAGCCCGGTCTACAAAGCAAGTCCAGGAGAGCTACACAGGACTACACAGAGAAACTCTATCTTAAAAAAAACCAAAAAACCAACAAACAAAAAATTAATGTGAAAGCCTTCAAAGAAAAACGGGGGGGGGAAGCCAGATGTGCAACTATTACAGGTTCTAAGCATCTGATGGTATTCCATGCTATCTGTGGTGATCCAGGAATAAAATATACAGCATGGATATTTCTTGTGCTTTTCCAACTATTTGGGGGAAGAAAACGATAAGGTATTTCTCACCAGCAAAGGAAGAAGTGAGATTTGGATAATTTTTTTCTTTAAAAAAAAAAAATCTATGCCCCTAGAGGCATTTCAGGTATGTCTTTTGTATGACATGTGTGCCAGTGGGTCACAGAGAAGAGAGATGCTATGTCTATGCTCAGCATTCTGACCTACGAACACCTGAATGATTAGGAGCCTACCGTCCCCTGAAAAAAACAGGCCCTGGGAGCGAGCCTGAGACGACCACCAGTCAGGCATAGCAGTGGCTGCGGGTGGAGTCAGGGTAGATCATGCCTGTGATGACTCCTGCCTGGGACCTTAATGCACAGCGAAGCATAGCACTTCTGAGACCACTCCTGACCCGGACTCCACTAAGAGGAACAAGTAAGTGGTAGAGAAACGGAAGAGAAAGAGAAGCAGAAGGATATGGAGACGAATGAAGAGAGGCAGAACTGGAGACTGGACAGTAGTGGGGAACAGCCTGATACGAGTAGGCAGCGAATGATGCCACCTGGGACCATAGTGGGACCCTGTTCTGTGCTGTCTGGGGGGTTACATATCTGGCTCCGTCAGGCACCAAAGGCCAGGAAATGACCCTGGTCTGGGTTGCTGCTCAGGGACATGATGATATTTGGAGGCTGTGCAGAACTGGCCCAACCCCTCACCTGGCCATCATGGGAGAGCAGGCCCCAGGATCAGGAGAGCAGAAAAGCTCTGCCCCTTACCTACCGCCGCACAGAGCAGGCCCTGCAACTCAACTAGACAGTACAGTAGAGCTGGCCCTGGATGTCAAGGTTGATGGGGAGTTTCCCTGAGGGCAAGAGAGTGGGAGGGCCAGTGGACTGACCAGTTCAGAGACCCCTCAGGCCCAGATCCAGGGCTTTGAATTGGACTAACCCAGCATCTACCCCATTGATGAACTGCTGGAGCATGTGAAGGGGGTCTTACAGACCCAAAACTATTGGGTCTCCATGACACAGGGCAACAACAGGATATCTGAAAGGAGTCCCAGTATTGCCCAAGTAGCAGAGGCCAGGGGCCTCATACCAAACCATGGAGTCATTGCAATGAACATTTGCAAGCGAAGAAGTCTGGACAAAATTGCATACTAAGACATGCTCTTACACACTACAGCTTTCACAATGAGATTTCCCCCCCCCTCTGTTGGGAGGGAGAGTGCAAGGTGGAGGGCTGGAATGAGGGGAGAAGAGTGAGATAGGGGTGCATGGTGTAAAATTCAGAAAGAAGCAATAAAAAGTTTTAAAAAACAACAAAAAATGTATATATCATTGAACCTTCAAGAATGCTTTTGTTTTTTAAATTATTTGCAGTTTAAGTATGGTAGATCTTAAATTTGAAATTTTAAAATTTATTTGTTTTTATTCACTTTACATCCTAGTTGTAGCCTCATCCTCCTCCCCTCCCAGTCTCACCCTTCCTTCTTCCCCCCACACCCTGATTCCTCAGAAAAAGGGAACTCCCTTCCCCATACACCGCAGTTCATCAATTTGCATCAGGACTGAGCGAATCCTCTTCCCCTGTGTCTTGGCAAGGCAGTCCCACCAGGGGGCAGTGATAAAAAAGCTGGCAAGTGAGTCCTTGTCTGATGCAGTCCCCAATTCCCTTACTAGAGGACCCACATGAAGCCTTAGCTATTCATCTGCTACATCTTTGTAAGGGGCCTAGGTCTAGTTCATGCAAGGTCCTTGGTTGATGCTTCAGTCTCAGCAAGGCCCTCTGGGCCCTGGTTAGTAGGCTCTGTTGGCCTTCTTGTGGAGCTCCTGTCACCTCCTTTTCTCTTTCCTCCCACCTTAAATTTGGATTTTTAAACAATTGTTCTTGGCTGGAGATGTAAGTCAGTTGCTAGAGTGTTCAAATAGCACACAGGAAACCCTGGTTCAGTCCTCAGAACCTAGGGTGTCTGAGTCAGTTCTTAGTGTGTTTCTATGTTCTAAGAAATTATGGGAAAACACTTCTTAAATTACTTTTGCACAGACCAAGCATGGTGGTGCACTCCTTTAATTCCAGCACATGGGAGGCAGACAAGAGGATCTCTGAGTAGGAGGACAGCCTAGTCTATATGGTGAGTTCCAGGACGGCCAGCACTACATAGTGAGACACTGTCTCAAAAAAAAAAAAAAAAAAAAAAAAAAAAAAAAACCCTTTTACACAGAAACATAGCCTTTCCAGCACTCAGGCTTGGCTAGTGCTTCTTTTTTCACACACTAGCAGCAAAAATAAAATCATCAATGTTTGCTCTTCCTTTTGCATTCATGATGTTCATCTTTATCCTCGCCCATTTTATTATAATGTATTTTATCTTTTACTGTTTAGGACATCACAATTTGCTTATCACATCTTCAACTGTGTGTCTTAAATTGTTTTCTGGTTTCTGAAATCTCCTTTTAACATATCAACTCTAATTTATTTTAACTACTTTGATTTTTAGGGGTTTTATTGAATTTGTTGTATTATTTTATAATATAATTCAGAAGGACATTGTTTCTAAAAACTGAATAATACTTTGCAAATTACCAACTTTCTTCTTGTTGTGTTTTTATTCCTTCATCTTTTCATTTCTCTCTCTTCTTTCTTTCTTCTAATTATTTCCTTTATTCCATCATACATCCTTTTCTTCTTTCCTTCCTCTTTTCTATACTACTTCTTTTTCACTTGACTGTGGATCTATAAATAGCATCATTTATTTTGTCCTTTGCAGCATATATCATCAGATAGTATCTCCCAATATGGTAAAGCTAAATTTTCAATGACTCCCTTCCTACCTTAACTATAGCTGGCTGACCTTTCCTTGAGGTCCTGAAGTACCGCTGTGATGGAGTGTTGGCTGGAGACCTACCCACTGACTTTTTCCCTGAGATCTGCTCATAAGGTTTGACTCGTGGTCAGTGCAACATTGCAAAGCCCCATCAAGGCTTGTACATTTACTTTATTCTTGTGATAACTTCCCAATGGTGTAATTGAAGTTGGGCTTCTGTAGGTCTCCTTCTTTTTTGCTCAGACTCCTTAATCCACAACTTGAAAGCTTCCAACCTACATGAAATGAATTTTCAAAATATTCTGTAATAACTGCTACCTCCCAAAAAAAAGTAGAAGATGGAGACTCGGAAGTATAATCCAATACAAATACACCTTCTTCCTCTTGCTTGATACCATTTCTTTTCATAGATGGTACTAGTTTTGGAACTTCATTTCACAGCTCGTATAAGTTTTCTCCTCCTTCCTTTGTCAGTTTTTATAATTATTACTCATTTGCTTCAGTATCAGAGAATGTTGTTTTACTGCACTGTATTAGTCAGGACGCTGAAAAGGAGCAGAACGGATAAGATTAATCTAAACATAGTAATAGTGGATTTACTGGGGTGACTTACATGCTGTGGTCCTTGTAGTTCAATAATGGTTGTCTCCTGATAGAAAGTCCAAGAATCCAATAGTTGTTCAGTCACTGAAGCTGGGTGGCTAAGCTAGTCTTCAGCATACATGGGAATCCCAAAGAAGTAGGCTCTAACTCCAAAGGAGGAAAGTCACAGCAGCAGAACAGATGAACTTGCCAGTGAGCGTGAGGGCATGCAGGCAAAAGGCAAAAGCTTCCTTCTTCCAGGTCATTTTACATTCTATGCCACCAAAAAGTGTGGTCCAGATAGAGGATGTGTCTTCCCAACCTCAGACAGTCCAGATTGGGGTTGGGTTTCTCCACTGCAAATGATGCAGTGAGGAAAAATCCCGCACAGGTGTGCCCAGCTGCTTGGGTTTTAGTTATTCCAGGTGTAATCAAGTTTGCAACCAAGATTAGTCATCACATGTACTCTTTGCTTAAATAAATTTTGCTTTAAAAAAAAATACCATCCTTACTGTATGGGAGCTGCACAAAAACAGGCCATCAAAAGTTGAGCATAAATGCAGCACAAATAGGCTGAAGAGGTGGCTTCAAGGTTAAAAACACTGGTTATATTTACTAAAAATCCTGAGTTTAATTCCCAGCAACCACATGGTAGTTCATGCCCATCTATAATGATATCTGATGCTCTCAGATCTCATACAGGCAGAACACTGTATACATAATACATAAATAAATCTTTTTTTAAAAAATGCAGCACAGACTTAGGGGGTCCCTATCCCTCACTAATCAACTATTTCCTATGGATAGATTCAGGAAAAGGAGGGGTCATTGTTTAGTACCCATTGATGTCCCCGCCAGGCTTCAACAGATATCCCCAAACCAGAGGTTACACAGGCAGTCAGAAGTCATGACTCTGGGAAAGAGACAGGGAGGGACAAACAGAGATTGATGTGGGGGGGAAGGGAAAGACAAAAGCCTAGGAAGGAAAAGTAACCGATCAGAATGCATTGCATGTGTATAGGAAACTGGGCACTGCTTAAGAAGTAAATTAGCGAAAGGATAGATGCCTTAGCATGAATGAACGTTAAAATATTAATGAAGATGGAAAAAGTCACTCTCAAATGGTCATGATTTATATTACTTAATTTTTAAAAGACGTTTCTATAAAGAGGATCATTTGATTATGGGTTGACTAATGCCAGAGAGCATGATTAGAAGTGGAACACTAAGAGGCAGAGGTTTCTCTCTGAAATGAGGGAAATAACCTAAGGTTGTACAAATATGAATATTCTAAAAATCATTAAATTTTTATGTTTTTACAAGGTGAGAAAGGTTATCATCCTGCCTCAATATGTGATGAGACATACCTTACTCCTAAGCCTGGGAACCTGAGGCAGGAAAGTGACTAAGTCAAGGCCGAACCTAGGCTGGTGAGTGAGTTCAAGATCAGCCTGGCTGTATAGTCAGAACCTGTCCATCAAAACCAAAATCAAAGAAACAAAGTGAGCCATCCTGCTAGAAAAATTACTCCTTTTCGTGGGTAACTTCATTTTAGATAATTATGTCTCAGTAATTCTATTTGTGGAGGATAAGGTAACCATGGTAAATGCAGCTATTGTTTAAATTACCACTATTTGGGGAAGAGAACAGAGGTAGGAATCTGGAAAGCCGAGTAATTGTTTTCCTTGGAGGAGACTATAATTCTGTGCCTTGAGCTAATGTGACAGTCAACGAGAAGAACCAGATTGCCACATACTCAGAGGCAGCAAGTTCTATTTCTCTAAAAAAAAAAAAAAAAGGCTCTAGAAGTTTCAGAGAATATGAGCTACAAAAAAGATAAGTTTAC